TAAGAGCCCTTATAATAACAGGATTAATAGAGGTAGCTAGATTAACTAACCTTAGAGAAGGGAGTGTAATGTAGCCTAACTACTTAGCGTAGGCTTAGCGCATGCATAACTCCTACGCATAGCGCACATTTAACCTACAAGAATTAGTCTTATCTCTAATCGAGGGATTACGGGTGTCTAATACATTACTACATCTTTACCCTTATAAGCGGTCCGATTCTCGCGATTTTTCTTCGAGCTTCTTTAGCGTATTAAGTTATTATAAGATCTGTTTTAAGTTATATACTATCTATTATATAATAGTATTGTTATAAGGAGGTAGGGAAAGTTTTAACTATAGTTAGTCTACTAAGCCCTATTAAAGCTTAGGGAAGTTACGCTAAAGCTAACCTATAGCTAGCTATAGTCTACTATTTACTATGTAGCAACTACGCGGCTAAATTTAGTTAATAGCATCTTAAATTATAGCTCTCGACGAGCTCGAATTTTATGTATTTATTTAGTGAATTTAGAGTGTACGGTTATTACGTAATCGTATAGTACGCGAGGTAGAGCCCGGGTTTTTAGGGTCTAAGCGGTATACTTAGCATCCCGCATTTAAGTTAGCCTTAACTTAGCTTTAACTTTATCGATAGCTCGACTACATTAACTCTACTAATCTTTTAAAAAATTGCCGAGCGTTACGTACGGCCGCTTTTAGCTATATATATAAGTAATTTAGACACGCGTCTATATATACTATCGACTATTATAAGCCTCTAAATCGAACCTCTAATAAGCACGAATATTACGAATATTACGAATAATTCGAATAATTCGATAGGTCGATATATTACTACTACGCGCTCTACCGTCCTTACCGCTAATTACTATATCCTTACCGTTCCCTATACTACTAACCTATACGGAACTCGAGGTTATCTTTAGAGACAAGCAGCTTATAGCAATTTAAGAGACTTTAGAGAGGGCAATTAGGGCTATATTATCGATAWTAATGCGAATAGATAGACTTAAAGAGAGGATTACTATACTTAAGGATTTAGAGCTTCCTACGTATATATAATGCGACTAGCTAACGGTAATAGTAATAGATGTAGATTTAGAGACAACATCTAATATAGAGCTATAGATAATATCTACTCTTCTTAAAGTATCGTAATGCGGTGTCCTTTAGAACCTCTATAACCGCTCGAACTACATTAACTAAGAAGCTCTTAAAGTCGTTAACTAGAAGCTCGTTACGGTAACGCTTAATCTACTTCTTTAATACGTAGAAGCTCTATTCGATAGGGTTATAGTCCGGTAAGTACGGTAGAAGCAGCTTAAGGAAGTAGTAAGCGTCTACTATAGCCTAAATAATATCGTTACTACGGTAGATTAATGTATTATCTATTATAAGGATAGAGCCGGTTAGTAGTTAAGGCAAAACCGTCTAAACTAGCTAATTTAGAAGATGTTCGGTTATAATCGAACCTTATAGTACTAGCGGCTTATCTAACTATCTATTAATTATTATTATAAGTACGAGAGACTATCGTTCTAACCGTTTAGCTAGTAATATAGTATCCGAGGGCTGTCTAATTAGACTCTAAGAATAACGCCTATCGAGTAGTAAGTAAGGGTAACTATATAGAAAAAACACTAACCTACCGCTAGCTATTTCGTTCGTTATACGCGCTCTCGTCGATAAATACTAACTAGTTATAATACTAACCTATTACCTTCGCGCGCTAGTAAGCCCTTAGCTCTATATTACGCTTACTAGCTATCCTCCGCGCTACCTTCTTAGACTACCGGTACCTCGATAATATCCTAAATACGCTAGAGTCGTAGAAAACGTAACCGGTGTTATCGAATAGCTACTAGGCTATCTTATTAAGATACGCGTCCGGCTAAGAGCTTACGAACGCTATAAAATCCTCCTTATCTTACTATATTAATCGCGCCGGCCTATACCTACGGACGGTTAGAGGGGGGTACGGTTCGCTAAAGAGCTCGAAACTAAGGCGGATACGACTAATAGTAGTATACGACACCTTATACGTCCTCGTAATAGCGCGATTGCTAAATATAGTCGTTTCGAAAGCAGTTCGGAGCTAGTTATAGAGCGGTAGCGGTAGGCGGTTACTAGCGCGCCGTTTTACGCGTTCGAAGGGCTCCTACGCCTCTAAGTTAGTTAAAAACAATACCTTTTGCACGGACCACTTACCGACATAATTTAAGACGATATAGGCCAATTTTGGATACAGGTAGGTAGTGTGGAGGGCGCTGTAGGCCAATTTACTACTAGAGGGCTCTCCAGCTTCCCCGCGGAGGAGGGCCCGAGAGGTGGTGCACGTGTTAATCAAAGAATTATAGCGTGTCACGGAGTCGGACACAAGCACAAGTTATACAAGACGTCTGAATCCTGAACCACGAACTTGGTTATGGAGCTGATTGCTAGCGAGGGTTTGTTTGCTCGGAGTGTCCACATCCTTCCGCCGAACGATTAAGATAGGCCTGCTGTGGGCCAGAGGAGATAGAGCTTATAAGCAGTAGCTTGGATCCTCCTGCAACAGCTTCGACGGCAGCTTGTGCAGCAGATCAACAACTGGAGATTCTTCCGAACCGCAAAGAAATGGAAAATTCACAACAAACCTTCGTCGGAGGAGCTGCTATGCTGAATCCATACAACACGCGAACGTCTCCCTTCTACTCGGCCGTGACGCATTCCGCCGGACCTTGTACTATCGTAACTACTGCTGGTCAAATCGGAGCACGTCCAGATGGCACCATACCATCCGATCCAGAAGAACAGTATTCGCAGGCGATTGACAACCTTAGACGATGTCTAGAAGCTGCAGGAGCACGAGTCCAGGACATCTTGAAGCTCACCTACTACATTGTTGACTACAACCACAAAAAGCCATTGCATCGTCCCGCCTTGATGAACTTTCTTGGAGATCATCGACCAGCTTCGACTTTGATTCCCGTACAACAGCTGGCCGCGCCGGAGTTTCTATTTGAGATTGAAGCGACAGCTGCCATTCCTCAGCACCCACCAGAGAGCGTCGATGTTGTGGTCGTTGGTGCTGGGCTGAGCGGACTGCAAGCAGCAGTGGATCTGCAAAAGGCCGGCCTCGGTGTAAAAGTCTTAGAGGCTCGAGATCGTGTCGGAGGGAAGACATGGTCCCGACCAGCGCAAGGAAGCGCATGTGACGTGGGTGCTGCTTGGATCAACGATACCAACCAATCCAAAATGCATGCATTAGCCCAAAGATTTGGTCTTGAGACCGTTCGGCAAAATACTGAGGGTAGCATCATTTGCGATGCGGGAATTGGCAGCCACAAGACTCATCCCTATGGAACGCTGTTATCAGATGCAAGCGACCAGGCTGAGATCGAGGACATCATCCGAATTCGTACCATCTTTGAGGAGACTTGCCAGAAGATCGATATCTATAACACGGTAGCATCCGGTCAGCAGATCAGGAAAGACCTCGACGACATCACTTTCGAGGCCTGGTTGCAAGACCTCGGCTGTGGAGAGCATGCGCTCAACTCTCTCAAAGTTGGAACTCGGGCTATGCTTGGTGTAGAGCCATCGGAGCTCAGCGCTTTGTACTTCCTCGACTATTGCAAATCTGGCGGTGGCTACATGCAAATGCGGTCTGATCTCAAACACGGTGGACAGTATCTACGCATCGCCAAAGGAACCCAGTCTTTCAGCAAAGGCCTCGCCGATGAGCTTGAGCCTGGATCGCTCATCTTGATGGCACCAGTCCGTAAGATCGAACAGGGAGGTGGAACCGTTCGAGTGACCTCAGCGAGAGGAACCTTCGAAGCAAAGCGCGTGATTGTGTCCGTTCCAACCCCATTGTACAATGAGATCACATTCGATCCACCATTGCCAGCAGAGAAGATCGAGCTCGCCAATTCAACCAAACTAGGAGACTACTGCAAGATGATCTTGTTCTATAACAAACCATGGTGGCGCGAACATGGCCTTTGCGGCATGTCTCAATCCTCCAAAGGACCCGCCGGAGTCACCAGAGACAGCAGTGTCGATGCAGATGGTCACTATAGCTTGACGACTTTCCTTGTCGGACAGCCTGCCCGGGATTGGATGGTGCTTCCACCAGAGGGCCGCAAGAAGGCCATTGTGGAGAACATACAACGTCTCTTCAGTCCGTTTGCTACCGTTGAAGACCCAATTGAGGCTGTTGAGCAGATATGGAAGAACGAACAATGGTCGCAGGGATGTCCATGCCCGACTATGGGACCTGGAGGGCTGACAAAATTTGAGAAAGTGCTGAGAGCCCCGGCAGACCGTATTCACTTTGTTGGAACGGAAACTGCTTTTGAATGGAAGGGCTACATGGAGGGTGCGGTTCGATCTGGAGAGCGAGGTGCCCAGGAAGTGTTGGCCGGTCTTGGAAAATTGGAAAAGTGATGGATATGGCTGCATAGGATGGACGATCTGATGCAATGAACGCGGAAGGTAATCGCGGGTGCGAAGCAAGGAAATTATTGGTACGTGGTAGTTATCGCGCTCAATGTGAGGCAGACGGTTCATCCTTGTTCTCTCTACATACCTCAACTTCGCAACTCATACGACTGAAGGTTAGGGAGGCCAAAGCTCTGAACATGTGGACTGCTCAGCAGAACTCCTCCCATCATCAGGTCTTTCCGCAACAATAGCTGCTAATCCTCGACGAATCTCGCGACCGCAAGAAAGCCTCGATCTTCTTCCCGGGGAAGGTCTGGGATTAACAAGGGAATGAGAAGCTCCGGTCGTATCGTTGATCGGTGTAGAATCCGCGTTGCTTGCTTGTCAATGGTATAAAATCTTATCAAACCGGATGACTTCCCTCCCTTGAGAGAACTAGCCTTTAGCTGCGTGTTGCTTCGATGGGGCAGAACTTTCCGCGGAAAGCATTTTCAAGCCTCCTGGCAGTGTCAGAGGATCATTCCGAGCTCCTTCGCTGTCGCCGGAATAGTGCATGTGGGTAGTTAGCTCGGTTCCGGGGAAAGAAGACGTTGATTTTACTCCCATGGTCTAGCCATTCTCGGCAAGCATACCACATGGGTGCCGACGCCGATGCCGCTGCGTGAATTTCCACGAGGTATAGGGCATTCATATAAATCTATGGATCGATCGAGTCATATCCACCTCGTTTGAGAGTGTATACAATTTTTATTTTTTTAACCAGCATACCGGATGGCTGATCACTCGACTTGCCCGCCGCTGACCCGGCAATCTGTACAGACTGCCCACAAACGCATTGAACCTTACATCTACCGAACATCGGTAGCTACATGCGATACGATCAACACCATTGCCTGTACTCCCCAATCCGAAAGACTTGACGGCCAGCCCGAAGGCGATGTTGCTGATTGTACCTCCAAGCTCAATGTTAAGCTCTTCTTCAAGTGTGAGAACCAGCAACGAATCGGAGCCTTCAAAGCCAGAGGTGCTTTCCATGCCCTAGGCAGATTGATTGAAGAGGAGGGACTGGAAAACGTTCGCCGAAGAGGAGTAGTTACACATAGTAGTGGAAATCATGCCCAAGCTCTTGCCCTGGCGGCCAGAACGCATGGCGTCCCCGCACACATTGTCATGCCGACAATAAGCACGCCGTCCAAGATTGCCGGTACGAAGAGTCAAGGAGCGAACGTGATCTACTCTGGCTCCACAAGCGATGAGCGGGAAGCCGTAGTTGCGGACGTGATGAGAGAAACTGGAGCAAGTCTTATACCTCCGTACGATCACCCCGATATCATTCTCGGGCAGGGTACACAAGCTCTCGAACTGGAGCAGCAAGTGGCTGATGTCCTTGTGCAACTACCTTCATTGGGTGTCGAGGGCGGGACGAAGCTTGATGCAATTGTTGCGCCTATTGGTGGTGGTGGCATGCTATCTGGTATTTGCACAGCGATGCACGGCACTGGCATCAAGGTCTTCGGCGCAGAGCCCAATTTCGAAGGCGCTAATGATGCCGAACGCGGTCTCAACGAAGGAACCAGAATTGAAAAGGTGAAGACGCTGACAATAGCTGACGGTCTACGGACTCCGGTGGGCAAGATTCCATGGTCGATTATCACCGACAAGGAAAAACTCCATGGCATCTACAGCGTGAGTGAGGAGCAAATAAAAGCTGCATTAAGACTCGCAATGGAAAGGGCAAAGCTTTTCATTGAACCAAGCGCTGCAGTGCCACTTGCTGTAGTGCTCTACAACGAGGAGTTCAGGAAGATGGTGGCAAGAGAAGCTGGCGATGCAGGCTGGAACATTGGTATCATCCTGAGTGGTGGTAACACCACTGTGGAAGCCATTTCCAAACTCTTCGCTGCCCCGACCAAGACTGCAGAACGTGCAGAAGCGAAAGTCGGGATCAATGGCGAACGAGTCGCCGAGAATGTCGCGGGGTAGATTTACTTACTCCTGTCCATAGCAGAATAGATTCCATGCGTTCAGTCCTTCTGTGTCCTGCGTTTTTGCTTTTGTTTTTGTTGTGAGATCTATGAAAGCTCTCTGATGTTTGGCCTTACTGTACATTGGATAGCTATACACAGAAGCTCTTATGCTCTCATTTTGTACATGACTTTCCAATCCTGTCCATACTAGCATCCAGTGTCTGGGGAGTGTTGTTCCTTGGCAGGAGATCCCCATTGCGCTGTTCTAGCAATCGTTGGCTGGCTTTCAGCTTCGTGCCAGATCAGTCTCTCCCACGCTGACCTTGACTGCGATCTCCACCGTTGCAGTTCTGGCTTTTTCATGCCCTGGGATAAGTCGTGACATCTGCGTTCACAGACGCGAAAGAATGCACGCCGACAGAGCTCATCCTCCCAACATAGGCGAGCCGTAATGTACGACACCTACTGACCCTTTCAATTATCCTGTCCCCATAGCTTCTTCCGCTCTTGCCTCGCTTGTCTTGCCTCTGTCTTTCTACGTCCCCACTTGGATTTCACCTGCTCCAACTCAATGTCCTGCTCCTTCTTGATCTCCGGTGCGGAACAACACAAGCTAACGAAGAACTGAGAGYACTCAAATTTCTCCGCCAATCTCATCCGCGTCCATTTTCTTGGATCTTCTGCTCTTAACCTCCGAATTTCCTCAATCTGCTCCTGCGTAAGGTGGTACTTCTTTTCGTACTGTGGTCGGACAGCAGGTAAAGACTCTGCAGGCGGAGTTGCATATCCCAGCTTTCGCGCGGCCAATGAGGCTAGTATTGATGGCGGTGCTTTGGGAGTAGTCGGCTCTTCCTTGGGCGTAGCTTTCGGTGTTTCGCGCTGTTGTAATATCGCCCTCCGCGGATCTGATGGAGGAAGAAACTTGGCCGGGGTGTGGTAGACATTAGGTRCGCTCGATGGTGGGTTGAAAATGATGTGATCTTGTGTTTCCGTTTTGGATGGTGCAAATGAGGAATCCGCCTTCACGCGAAGTAATTTTCTCGTCCGTCTGTATGTAGCAGCATTACGGCGGCAAGTGCGACAAACGAAAGACGCCGCATCGGATGAGAATATCGATGGGCGCAAGGCAGAAGAAACGAAAGATGTCGCCATTTGATGAAGGCGAGGGAGGTCGCGTGGTGGACGATTGACAGGAGTCGAGGTTGAAGCAAGTCAATGGAACGTAGCCGGGATAAGTTCGGCGACACATGACTTCACCTCCTACATTGGCGACCCTACTTGCCTCTTTTACACAAACAACGTCTGCAGTAAAGACAGCACCTCGGCTCAACGACTTAGACTCACACTATATCATGAATCCGAATCACCACTATGTGCACTATGTGCTGCCGGAAAGATCTTGACTGAGTGGAGCTCRCTTGGTCAATCCGCTGCATTGAAATGTGTCAAGTGCTTCTTCCCACATGCTCACATGTGAAAAGTCCTTCCGCGAAGAGACATATGGATCATACCGTCCCAATCATAATAAGATCTAAACGACCTCCATGGTCACACCGAGTGCTGCCAGCATTATGATGTTCTACTTCTTACAGCGAGAGTAACTCCTATTGCTCACGGCAAAGGCTACTAGTAGCCTTTGTACATATTGAGTACTCCATACACATTCCGCGCTCTCTCGCTTTCCTGTCATCTCACAGATAACTGTCACACTTCGACATCATGGCTCCCAACAAAGCCTCGCCTGCACTCTTCGCGCACCCATCCAGAATCGTCCAAGATACCATCACCGTGTCTCGCCAATTCGATTCCGGCGACGAGCAGACCCTCTCGATCTCGTTCCAGGATACCATAAGAGTGGCAGATAACGCAACTACCAACAAGCTCCCTCCTGGTCTGGGCCGCTTTCCATGCACAGCCTGCAGTATCAGGGCAACAGGTCATGAGAAGTACACAAGCGACTTCCCGTGCCACAGCAAGCACGACAGACGTCTTTGTGCATGTCTCACGTCGCTGTTGATCGCGGCCAACCGCCAAGACCAGCACTAGCTTGGATTCGGAAGCCACGAGTGACGAGGTGAATGGATCACCACGATGGACTAGATGACAGCTTTGACGGCAACGTTCGTAATTGGAAGTTGTTTGCGTCGCTATTCTACACGCAAAGGTACATTTACATCGAGAAGACCTCATTCCCTCCCTGAAAACGCATGTCTGCGTTCTTCACCAGTCAGACCGCTAGATGCGGCACATCAACAGATCGACTTGATAACAGACCATAACTTCGCTTCACAACGTCCATCTGTACATCCTCACAATCAACACAATGCCGTCATCATCCTTACTCAGCCTCCTTGACCGCAGGCGGCGGATTGACGCTCTGACTCGCCGTCCGCCTTCCCCAGAACCACCCTCCAACAGTTGAGGGCGCCKCCTCGGCCTTCTTCAACACGGAGGCACCACTCAATTTCTCTTCGCTCGGCGTAGATACGGCCGTGCTACGCCCGCTCGTGCCATGAACATCCTCAGAATATGGAGTCGGTGGGAGGCTGAAGATGGAACCCGTGCGTGCAGCATCAGCCTCTGCTCTCGCAATCTGAGCAACCTCCCAAGCCTTGGCAGACTCGGCCTTTGCGAGGTCCATCTCGGCCCGTAATTGTTGCAGGGCCTCGTCTTGCTTTCTCCTGCCTACCGAGAGCGCCTTGCGAAGCTCGTCGACTTCTTGTCGGGCTTGAGCCTCTGAAGTCTTTGCATTGACCAGTTCAAGCAAGAGTGCCTCTTCAGGCACAGACTCGTGTTGGGGTGTTGCAAAGACTTCCTGTGTAGCTAGACTTGACGTCCGCTTTGAAAAACCTCGTCGTTCCTTGGAAAAGCTGCTTGCAGAGGGAGGAGGCTCGATGGCCGACGCTGGCGTCGCGGTGATGTCCGGATATGATCTGTACGGCGATGTGCTTGGAGGAGTTCCTTCCGGGGATGAGTTGTCTGCGAATCGCGAGTATCCCATCGACATGTCGGTCTGTAGCATTGGAGGCGAGCGAGAAACGCGCAGGCTCTGCATAGAAGAGCTTGATTCTCGGCGCCCGAGCTTGAGTTCGCGAAGACCACCAGCAGATCCAGCTGGCATACTTGTCTTTCTGCTGAGCGTCGGTACCTCACTCATGCTCTCAGCACGAGCAAGACGCTCCTTGCGGTCCACTGACCGTGCTTGAGCCTTGAGCTCTTGCACTTGGTGCTCCAGCTTTTGCCTCGCCTTGTACTCATCAGCGACTCGAAGCCTCAGCTCCTTCACTTCGGATCGCAGATCTTCGCTCTCCGACTGAAATGTGCTGACAGAGGCTTCCGCAGACTCCAAACTAGCGGTCAATTCTCTGGCATGGGCTTCAGCGCTAGTAAGCTGTTCTCGTGTCCGCGCTAGAGTCGTTCGCAGGTGGGCCTTGGTCTCAAGGTTGGAAGAAAATTGCACATTCATCTGCAAACGCTCCTGCATCTTCTCCACGAGTTCTTCAATGTCGTCCTTTGGTTTCTGCATTTTCTGCTCACCTGCAACTTCTTGCCGACTTCCGAGACTCAGGGGCCGGTCTTTCGGTGAAGCTCCTGGCTGTTGCCGCTTGCGCGGAGGTACCGGCAGCGTTCGCCGTCGATCCTCCTTGTCTGATTTGCGAAGCTTGATGACAAGGTGCCTCATGGTGCGATGATCCTCGCTCCGATCTTCTCGCTCGCGCTGCAGCATCGCAGCAAGTTGTGAATGCTCCCTCTGCATCTCACCAATGGCAACTAGTAGATCTTCGATCTGTGCGTGAAGCTCTTGCTGCTCCCGAGCATGGCTCGGCATGATTGATTCGGCCTTAGATCGCATGCTCATTGAGTCAGCCATGCTTTCCCGTAATGCTGCATTGCCATCTAATGTTTGCGTGTCCACTTCAGTTGGAGCGGTGGAGGCTAGACTGGCAGCGCCAGATCCAGCGGTAGACATGCTCTCTTCGCTGCTGGTGCTGTCGGTGGCCAGCGCTATGCTCTGTTTGCTTGGGCTCCTCCTGAGGAAATTCGTCGGTCTCCCGAATATGCCCATGGCTCCAGCTGGAGCATTATCCTTCTCCGCCGACTGTGGAGATAGTGTTGTGACACTCGGGCTTGGTGCATGGTTGGTAGCAGGCTTGCTCGGTGTACTGGCATTTCCAGGGGCCCAGAGGCGACCCAGAAATCGGCCAGCAGCTGCTTGCACGTCTGGGAGAAATCCTGCACTCTGACCAACGGCTTCTGAAGACTTGTTGTCAAACTCCCTCTCCAATTCGGCAAGGCGCGCAAATGTCACAATCTCGCCAAGGGAAGTGAAGTCGTCCACAAGTTCATCGGCATCGCCACCATAGCAATCCCAAAGCTCGCGTCCAAGTAGGAGCTGCATGACCTCCTCAAACTCGTTAGTACCAAGCATTCTCTCCTCGTGTCTGCGCATGAGTGCAAGGGCTACACGCATCACGGTCTCGTTAGCTCCCTCGGCAAATATTACATCGTAGATTCGAAAGAGCATTGGCAGCGGGCAGGTGACAGCAAAGCAGGACAAGAACCATTGCGAGAGATATGCGGGTTCAATGCCGAGATCTGTGAGGTGATTGTGCAGCTTTGCGTGGTGTTGCCTAAGCAATGCGGAGAATTGGTAGATGCGCATGTGTAGACCGGACAGAGAGGGTAGGAATGATGGCCGCAGTGAGTAGTGATCCATGAGACTGCTTGATGTTAGCAACGTCGTCACCCATGAGTGGGGACTGCTTACCGAACGAGTACACAGAATGCTTCGCGCTCGCCCATGTTCATAAGTAGTGGTCCAACCAGGAAGCCGAGTCCCTGACAATACCCAATGTCCTTGTCTTGCAACGAGAAGCATTTCAGCACTCTGCCCAGCATCTTCTGGCCTTCACCTTCGGCATCCCTGAATAGTTCCACTCCAGGGAAGCTGCGACCGACGTCCTTGTTGATGATGCCCTCATATGGGCTCTTCTCATTCACCAGTTTCTCGAATGCTTCCTCCAGGTCTCTGTCCCTCGCACCTGCCATTGAGCTCCATACAACACCACGAAGAGGTGGCGGGATGCCAGAGCGAATCTTGGTTGTGGTGAGTGTCGGCAATCGAACAGCGGTAGATGGATAGTCCTGGACCAGCGCTGCCCAGAATTCAAGTTCAGTCATGGGTGGTAGCTCTGCTGGCAGACCTGCATCGGATGCCATGCTATACCGTATTGAAGGTGCGTCTCGCTCCGCAACCAGCTTCTTGAGTTGTGCCATGCTTGGTGGACGACTCGCAGCTCGGGCACGGGCGAAAGGGCGACCTTTGCCGGACGTTGCCTTTGGGTCCAGAGCGAATTTGGCGTTCTCTTGTTCGAGTCTGGCGAGGAGGAAAGCAGTGGACTCATCTTCTGCGCCTTCTGGGATGCTTTTGTCCTCCTTCTCCTGCTCTTCGGTCTTGTCTAGTACTGACCAGTCCACCTGCGATTGCATATCCTCTTCCGAAGAGCTTCCAGATGTGCGATCCGTGGTGTCGATGCTGCTTCTCGCGGTGAGTGCCGGTGTCTCTAGGCCTGGCTCGAGCATGTCGATCGTGTCCAGGGAAGCATTTGTCTCTCTTCTCGTCTGCTTGCTCCTCGACTCGGAAACAGCTCCAAGATCAGAGTTTTGTCGTGTCCAACTTTCACGCTCTGTATTCAGCTCCATGGCGGACATGGGCATCATCGGAGACTCGCTCGACGTGTCGAACAGCGTGTCGTGCCCATGTCCGGCATTCGAGGGCCATTTGTTCTGCAGGATGTCAAGACTGCTGACCTTACGCAGGTGCCGTCTGGTCCCTTTGACGCGCGGGGTTGCCATTGCGTCGTCCGCTTCCTCGGTAACAAGATTCTTTTCTGGAATGCTAGATTGGGACAATGCGACTGACACCAGGCTATCCGTGGACTTGTGCTGGTCGTCTTCCCTGAGGGTAGCGGGAGATGTGGCAGTCGGAGTCTCCGGCGAGGAGAGGTGATCGAGAGACGGATCGTGCAGGGTGGTGGTTGTCACAAATACGGGCTGCGGTGTTGTTTCAACCACAGGCGAGAAGTGTGTATCGTCGACGTCAGATGGCGACCTGCCCGGGGCTGCAGGGCGTAGGATCGCGACCTCGTCTTCAATATCTGCTACTGTTCCTGTTTCTGCTGTGCATGGAGCTATAGGACTGGACGCTGAAACATGTTCCGAAGGAGATGAGGCTATCGCTGTGGTGGTGGTGGTGTCCGCGTCGGCCTTCTCTTCCGCTTCTCGATTCYCCTCCTCCAGCTCTTCGCTGTCGTCGTCCACTGGAGGGGGGGCATCCTTGGACGTGATCGGGGCGTCGAGCAGTGAGGACCTGGCTGAGACGGTGGAAATCCGTGTTTCAGCAACGGGCATGTCTGCCTCAACTGCCACCGCCGCTGTGCTCTCCGTCATCTTGTTGGCTGGATGGTAGATTCACCTCTTCGGCAATCTCGTCTACCACAGGCGTGATCAACGGTTCCTCTGCCGGCAGAGTCGAGCCGTGAGCATGGATGCTCGTGCTGTGAAATTGGAAACGCGTAGGGGAGCTTCCTTTTGCAGGCCCCGTCCTCAATCTTCAGTGACCTTTGGGGCAGAAACGTAGGAATGACACAAACGACCGCAGCCAGAGATTTGCGCACAGCTGGTATACCTACCAGAACACACCAGCCCGCGTCGACGGAGTTAGAGCGAACTATTCACGCGCTACTTTCTTGAATCCAGGGGCGATCTCCATGTTCGCATGATGCAGCCAATTAAACTCGGCGGGCCGCCACAACTGTCCACCTCCTAACCTCCTGAGACTCCGCCATGTTTTCTAGTCTGAAAGCAAACCTTTCATAGCTGTCAAAGTACAAAGCCTTCCACATTCGAGGGGCTGCCGTATCTTGTCTACTTGAGTCATGACGGTGCTGTGGTGCTTGGGATGTAATTGGGATTCACGAACGACGACCACTAGCAAATACCTACTACCATTCTTCGTCGCCACATGACTTCAAGTGGCCTCAAGAAATGCACATTCACCTGGTATGGACGATGTCGGAACGTGATTGATGAAGATCGTTCAGGAGCTCTACATGTACATAACCTCCAACTCAATTTCAACAAGTCACGTCGATTGTCCGACGCTCACCAACGCTGATACACTCACCTCCATGAGCAGCGATAAGCCCGACCTCTGAGGTTTGGAAAAGTCCTGAGAAATGTGTCTGTGATGATCCGATGCCTTCGATGCAATTTTGAACGCCTTTCTTCCATGCTGGGTGTTGCTTTACTACAATTGATCGGCGTTATTCATGGTCATTCGAAAAGATGAAAAATGCTGGCTATTCGAGGGCATGGACATCGTCAGAATCACTCTCTCCAGCTCTCCTTGAACGAGGCGCAGACGCTCTACTTGAGAAGTCTGTCTAGATAATCCAAAGGAACCTGAATTGCAAACCCCATGATTGGTCTATCAAAGCGGCAGGGCAGCTCCCTACAACGCATTTCTGCACCCTCTTCATTCTCGGCCGGGAATTGCGCAACCTCATACAAATTTGTATTCCCAATCGTAGTAGAAGTCGTTTCCATCCTTGCAAAGCCGCAACCACTGTCGTGGGACGCAAAACGAAGCCGTGAAGATTTCAGAGGATAAGGTAGTTCGAGCGTCTTGTGTCTTCCTCATTGTAGAGCTGGCCGAAGTCCGGAGAGCATTCATGCATGAACGTCGAAGCCACTTTTTAAGGGAATCCCAGCGCCGGAGAGATTGAGTGCGTACAGACATTCGTGGTGTCGTCATGAACTTGCGCACGAAAGCAGTGTCACCTCAGTGATGGAAGGCGAGCACTCATGATTTTCTACCTGCTGCTTTCTGGTACAAACAAGTCAGTACACCGCAGTGGTTGAAAATCCCAGCCAAGTGTCATACCAAATAGCAGTCCTTCAACGCCATGAATTCTCTCGCACACATGTCCTTCTTTGCGTTCTGATAGTTGGCCGCCACGCATTTGCCGTAGAACGCTCCCTGAAAGTTGTCAGAGGTGCTCTACACTGCTGAGGAGGCGCAGCATGCCTCTGCACTACACTTTGCAGTCGCTTCTGCAAACTTCTCTATCGGTCTCGTCCTGCCTGGCATCTTGACGTGATTTTGTAAGTGAGGGGGAAACGGAGCTGAATGGGAATCGAGAGGGTGAGTAAGGTAAGGTAAGGTACGTCAGGACTGTGAAGGCTCCGTTGATTGGTCGAGCAGAAAACGAAGCTAGAGGCTGCTTGCATTGACTGTCCTTCGCGTTCCCGTGAAAGATCAACATCGGCGCGTATCTCCGCGTCGACGCACTCGAATCGATCAACAACAGCATTTACGGCGCATACCATACAAAATCGCGCTCGGTCAGCGATGCTCATGTTGCACCACATAGCGTATAACAAACAACGACGCGCTCGATGACCGGCCATCACTCGAAGCGCCGCCGAAAACACCTCCGTCCTCAGATCACATGAATGGGTATGCCCATAGCGGAGAGCTTCCGGAGCTGAGCAACGAGCGTGAGTGGAATCTACAGTTTCTTCGTTCCGCGAAGTATGTCGCTAATGCGCCGCAGAAATCCAGATCCTCGCAGCCATCTGCGACGCCGCCGCAAACTCCACCGAGTCGCCATTCCAGGCCCTCTTCAAAGCTTATGAGGAAGAATTCTACAGCAGAGGTCTTGATACCAACCGCGACAATGCGGTCTTCAGATGGCTCACGCGAGTGGGCGAGAACTCCAGGCGCGCTTACCGCGTCGGACGCCCTACCGACTTTATTCCCTACATGAGGAGCATTCTTGAGGCACATGGCATTACTGTTTTGGACGATGAAACTCCGGGCATCACTGTCATTAGCGAGGATGGGGATGAGCATGGGGAAGAGACTGGTGTGTCACAGGGAGCAGAGGCCAGCAGGAAGCAGCAGTTGCCGCGACGCAGGGTGTCCTTTGACGATGCACAGCTCGAGGAGACGTGGCTGAGCGAGCGATCGCAGTTCGACCACTCATTTCGGCCGCATGTTCCCAATGGTCTGCTGAGGCAGCCGCCTCGTAGAGGCAGGGACCACGTTGGAAGAGAACGCACGCGGTCTAGCAGTAGCCATGATCATCCATCGTCAAGACGGCCGGCTCCCAAGGTAACCTCACATGGCTTGCCGCCATCCGAGTATGGATCCGAAGACGAGAGGAACTTGATATATGTGGATCGACCCACTGAAGAACAAATGGAGCAAAACGCAGAGAGCTTCTTTGCGACCTCAGAGCTGCGATCAGCGAGGCGGTTGATTCGAGTGTGGCATGAACGAACGGAGACAGTGAGACAAGACCGCAATCGAGCGCTTCAGCGCCAGAATTCCCAGCGCGAGAGCCTTGCCGCGGAGTACGATCGACGACTCCTGCTGAAGCAGTCTTTCGATGCCTGGTACGGCGCCTACTATACTTTGCGGCAGGACCAAGAGCGCGCGAGACTAGAGCGTGAGCACGAAGCGCAGGAAAGAAAACGCGAGGAAATGCTGGCCAACATGCTCGCAGGTCATATCCAGAGACGGGACAAGAACTTTGTTGCCAAAGCGTTTGATCACTGGTTCATGAGTGTACAATACGAAAGGGCTTCAGTGCAGAAAGCACGCAACATACTACTGATGGTACGCTACTTTGCCCGGTGGCGCAGAATTGCTATGGAGAATGCAGAAAAGGCGCGCAGTCTTCTGTTGCGAAAGTTTGTGACACTGTGGCGCGACAAGACAGCCCGTCGATTGATGGTGCATGAGCAAGCCATTGCGTATTATGAAGAACGATTGACGAAGAAATGCTATCTCAGCTGGTACTGGAAGAGCATGGGCCGCAAGGTTGAGGACAGGCACGAGCTGGTCGTTGAACGCAACGCTTTCGAAAAGCTTCGCGCCCGAGTGCGCCAGCGATCGGAGCAGGTGCATCAGGCCCAAGACACGCACGACACCCAGCTTGCGAAATCGACACTTGTCATACTCAGGAGACGAGTGGAGCAGCGACTGGCAGCGATGTCATCGGCAGAAACCCTGTACGAAACCACCGTCCTGTCGAAGTGTTTTCGCGCTCTCCGGATTGCTGCGAAGCTCTCTCCGATCTCGAACACTTTGACGGTGAAAGTCAAGTTTGACCTCAAACGAAAAGTTTTCCGCGTGTGGCACCTGCAATTTACACTTAATCGACAGGCTGCACAGGTCGACCGGAAACGTGTGTTGCAGACTGCTTGGACGAGCTGGAACGATACGCTTCGCAGCAAAGCTCTTGGTCAACGCATTGACGAACGCGTGTTGCTCGAGAGCCTCTACAAATGGGTGCTCCATACTCGGSTGCGATCCTACCAGCGAGCGCAAGACGCGAAGCTTGCCCGTAAGACGCTCTCGGCCTGGAGCCTCAAATTACGCAACACCACTGCAGCGCTCGCCCAATCGAACGCTGACTTTGAAGCAAGTCAAAGATGGCGAATCCTCAAATTCGGGATGCTTCGCTTTAACATGGCCATGCGGAATCACGAAGACGCGGTACGTGCAGCGACGGAGTTCTCAAACAGTCGTACGTTACCGGATGTGGTCGATGTGTGGAAAGCGCAGACTGCGCATGCAAGACAACTCGCCAAGTGGGCTGTCGATGCACGATTCTACTGCTTGACTACCCGGACTCTGAAACTCTGGCGAGAAAGGACAGAAGAGCATAAGCGCATGCGACGAAAGGAGGCGTATACACAGGTCCGAGCATCGATCAAAGTCAGACTCGCAAAGAGCTGCCTTGCCCGCTTAAGCACCAAGGCCTCAGCAGTCGCTTCATTGCGGAACGAAGCCGAACGTTTGGCTCGTAATCGCGTAATCAAAGTCGGTATGGATGCATTCGATACTTGGAGAGACAAGACGGCGGAGTATGTGAACCTCGACGTGCGAGCCCAGGCTACAGATCACCAGAGGCTCCTTGCCTCCGCTCTCGCGGCCTTGGCCAACCATCAAGACGAGCTCACAGAAATGGAACAATCTGCTTTGCGTTTCCGCCAAGAAACAGACATTGGGATTTTGCGTCTCGCTCTTAGGAAGATTCAGTGGTCCAGCTTCCAAGCGACCCAACGAGCAGGCAACGCAGACGCCTTATGGGCCAGAAATCGCGACCTGCACATCAAGCACATGCTCCGCYACTGGGCATCCCAAACCGCTGAGCGTCAAGCCGCCCGGGCTGAGCCCGCTGAGCCTGAGAGCCCCAGTCTTCGTCCTGCAAGCAGAGCCCGATCAGCGGAGCGCTCAGCAGCGCGTGTATTCGCCTCTCCACAGAAAGCCACAACCCCGGCGTACATGCAAACTCCAACTCACTCCCGTCGCGCGGGCTCGCGATTCCGTCCGCTTCCTACTCCCGCTCACGTCGCGCCAATGGCGTTTGACAGGGCTTATATGCTGAACACACCTGCTCCCGTGACTGATTTTGGGGAGCCTAGTGACCTGTTCTATGGACAGACTCCTCCGCAGCAGATAACCCCATTCGCTAATAAATTACGAGCAGGAGGTATCCTTCCCTCTGCGCAAACCCGCCAACCGCAGTCAGCGTTGAGGACAAGTGTATTTGGAAGGTCTGCCGCAGGAGGCGGCACGGGGAAGAGTGTGAGATTCGCTGGCGGGAGTCGGTTCGGAAGTGGAGGAAGGAGAAGAGATGGAGGACGTCTGCTCGAGGGCTCCGATGAATGAGTATTTAATGTTAATGAATCGAACGACGGTATGATTCAAGTCGATCGAACAATATATTCATTTCTGATCTTTATTGTGTATTCGTGTTCTACATGTGCTATGAGGCGGCCTTGCGCCTGTTGTTGATTATACATCATCTACATTAATAGTAGCTGTTCCTGTCCCGGTGACTGCGCACTGGGACAAAGCTGGTCGGTGCCCGCTGCCTCGTTCCAATGTCAATGCTGGAAATCTCTCGACTCAGTGCATCACTGTCATAGTTCAACGGCACCTTTGGAGGTAGACTCGGAGGCGCACTTCCGTAGCCCCCAGGACTTGACCCACCGTAGCCACCAGGACTCCGACTGGCATCTCGGTATCCCCTCGAGAACGGCGGTTGAGGCTGCTCATAAGGGTTTGGAACCGCGTTGAAGCCTTCATGCTCTYGCATAGGAGGCTCCATACTTGGACTCCTCCCTGGGATGGGCGATTTCTTCACCAGACGATTCCGACTCGATTCCGGCTCTTGAGACTGGGCCTTTAGCCGCACATTTATGACCGTATCTCTCGGCACCCTTCCGGCGGAGCCACTGTGGACAGTCCTAGGTCCAAAGTCTCGATCCCTCCCCAAGCCGTATGTCTTGGTGGGCGTCTTCTTGGTAGGTTCTGGCGCCCAAGAGTCGACGGGGAGGTGATCACTGGGATCAATCTCCTGCCCGTGCCAGCCGACAATGGGTCCACTTCTCCCATCGCGCATACCAGAGCCTTCGCCATGGGAAGGCTGTGGGTTGTGGACGTCGAAACTATCGGGAGAGAAGGGAATTGCGCTGGAGCCTTCTGACATTGAAGGTCGAGGAGATACAGATTTTCTTGTAGGCGGAGCGGAGGCACGGCTGGGCAATGCGCGGTTTGCGGAAGGAGGCTGCGTGGTTGAGAGCGGGCTAGCGTCGGATGAAGCAAACGCTCGGACAGGGAATTGTATACTGTACGTATTCTTTGCCGGGCGTCCAGCGGAGTGTGGTTGTTGAGGAGGCGGTTGCGGAGACGCAGCACGAGGGTCCGCAGATTGTGCTCGACCTCTTCCGCGATAGTCGGGATGTTGTGCACCTTCTTGCGCAGGATCCGGCAGCTCGTGTCTCGAATACGCGTTCGGATTAGGACTTCTCGCCCGAGGGACTTGGTGAGAGAGTGGATGCGGTCGCGAAGTCGTGCCATTGGGATCTGCAAAGCTGTGACGGCCAGGCATCTGTCGAGAAGCCGGGGTCCTTCCGATAGAGGCCGGTAAATGGTGAGTTGGGACCAGGTTCGGAGTCGACTCGTAGCTATGTTGATACGGCGATGAGCCATGTTCGTCGAAAGAAGACCCCCTCGCGGGATTTCGATGGCCATATGATGGCTGTGCTGGGCTGTAGCCTTGCTCGATGCTTTGTATTGGCGAGGAATTAGGCATGCACTGATGTCTTACAGTGGGCGGGGTAGTCCCGTATCTCGCGGTCGCGGGTGCATATGTGCGGCCATGAGCGGACCCATAGTTGGGAACAGCCGGTGAGCTGTTGCTGTGCATTGGAGGTGGAGGGGGACCATCCATCTCATCCTCAACATAAGGTTGATGTGTCGGAAATTCGTGCTCCCAGCCGGGAGGGACATCATTCCTTCGCTGACGCTGGTGCGGATGCTGGAAGTCGATTTCGGGCGCTACCTCTGGGAAGTCATTCTCGTATAGGTGCCCGTCCTCGTGAGCTACAGGTACAGCTGGCGCCGAGTGTGAATGCGGTAATCCGATATGGCTGAGTGGCCTGGGCTGCGGAGGATGTTGATAAAGCTGAGGTTGTGATGCTCGCTGTGTGAATCGCGGTTGTGGTCCTCGTTGTCTATGACTTGGAGGCAATTGTGGGAGGAAATCCAGCTGTTGTGGTCCCGCATGCTCGTACACTTCCGGATCCGGGTTTTGATCGTACTCTCCATAGTACTGCGTCGGCGATGCCTGCTCTGGAGCGACCCCTGGGGTGATGGCAGCAGGGTGAACAGGGGTCTGGCCGACAAGCGTGGCGGCTGAATGCGGGTAGCTGAGTGCTTCCACTGGGGTCGATCCCGCCCGGAGGGGCGTTTGAAGATCGCGAGGGCCATGGCGTGCACGGCCTGGYGGTGTACGACCAGGGATAACAACAGGTGTCAAGCTGGGTGCATTGGGGTTGGATGGCAGTGGTCTACGCTTCACCTTGGATTGCAGACCGCCATACTGCTGCCGCAGCTCTTCAGCGACGGACACAATCTCCTCGGCCTTTTCAGGTTTTGCGCGCGTATCGTAGTACGTCAACTCAATGCGTAGGTCTCCAGCATATTTGCCCTTGCAGTTCAAACCCTGCCACAGGTCCGCCTTTCCACCACCCGGTACCACAACATCGGTCAATCCCACCCAGGCCTCGCCGATGAGGTCGGTGCGCTTGTCCTCGCTGAAGACGGAGATCTTGAGCTGGTAGTAGTCCGGCGAGTCGTGGACGGTGAATCGAAGCTCCTGGTCCCTGCGAGTTATTTAGCATGCTGGGAGAATATAACCTGTCAGCTCTTGACTGCCACTCACCATTTAGGCGTCTGTCCACCGCGCTGATCTGTCTCGGTCTTGCGGGCCTCCTTGCCCAGTCGCGCCGCACAATACGGATTCTGCTTCCCCATTGTCTTCCTGTTGGGCAGATTCTTCGCCCGATCGACCACCAGTACCAATGTGCCTATCTCGGGCCCATCGACGGTCATGTCGGCGAAGATGCCCGCGGAATGGGGGCCTGCCGCTGCCATCTTGGTTGACATTCCCGGAGGAAGTGAGTTTGTAGATGTCGCAGTCTGGTCTCAATCGCGTCCCATCCAGATAGATCGGTGGTGATGGAGCGCGAGACGTGTGCTGCGTTGCGTTGCCTGCTGCCTGGCTCGGGTGCAGTGTGTGGTTCGAACGCGAGTTATGAAGTGGACATTGGTATCCCCGGAACGAGAGACGGTACCTGGTGCAATGGACGATGCAGAAAGAGGTGCAGTTCTGTCAGCTGCGAATCGGGACTTTTGATGTGAGCGTCGGGTGTGGTTAGCAGTTGCCGTTGAAGGCGGTTGGGAGGCTGGTATGCTGGTATGTAGATCTCTCTGCAATGATTCAGGCGTCAATCTAGCAATGCCGACAACAAGCCGGATAAACCACAATGATGTTGCCCGTCAATGACTGAGAAGGACTCGGGAAGTTGAAGACGATGATGAAGTTTTGGTGGTGAATGTAGACAGGCGTGCATCGACACCCCCAACACACTGCCGAATACAGCCTAGCTTGAAGACAAGCTTTCTAAGCCGACCAAACGCGTCCTCCAATGCACGAGGCAGAAGTGCCGTGCCGGCCGGGCTCTGGTTGGCCTGGTTTTGGAAGAAGCATCTCCGTTGTATTCTGTTCCCCTCCTCCAGCAAAGGGCCGTTGAGGATGATGACGTGGTAACAGCCCTTCGACCCGGGCGTTTGAACGGCAGCACAAACACAAGCACAAGTTGCCTCCAAGAATACATGTAAGGTACATGTAGTGCCTTACACATGTGGTATGACGACGGCGACAAGGATCATATGCGAGATCCGATGTTCCACACAGCAGGTTTGATCAACGCAACAGCGAAATCCGTCAGACTTTCCTATTCCCAGAAAGCACTCAGTGGGTGCTCGGTTTCCATATTTCTCAGTTCCTCTTCCTCTTCCGTTCTTCTACTTGACTCTCAGCAAAGACGCAAAAGAAGCACACAGCGATCATGGTAGACGCAATCGTCGGACTCGCCCTCTCCCTGGCGATCGTGATGCCCGTCGGAATTTCGGTCACGACCGGGGTGGCCCAGGGCGTCAGCGAACAACACAAGCAAAATGCCGATGCAAGCAACCAAACTCGCATGCTCAAATTCCACCTCGACGTGTTACTTGACCCCGAACTGCGCTCTCCTAAATATTCTGCCCTCCACAATTCGATTATAACGCTGCATCATGACAAAGTCTGGGTAGATGTCAAGAATCCCGCAACAAATCTTCCGCTCGAAGGGAAAGATGGGACTCCAGGCGCTCATCCTTTCACGGGATTCTACGTTGCCTACCCGGATGATCAGAGGAGCTATACGAGAGGGTTGGTGAGCACGATCAGCGTCGATCCACCAATGTTAAACTGGATATACATCAACAAGGACACATATGAGGTCAAGTATGCTTCGAGAAGTGGGAGTATCATGCATCATGTTGGAGACTTTGACTGGACGACAGAGGATAATGAGGACAGCATGGTCATCTTCAACAAGTTCGAAGGATTCGTTGCAGTGGAAGAAGAGGAGGGAAAGTGGGCGTTATACTTTGATTACGACGATGATGGGTTTCAAGACAAGAGCAAGGGACGGAGAACAGTCGAGGTCCACCTGCAGCGACGAGTATTGACGGGACAGGAGGTCAATAAATGGGGCTTGAAAGAGGAAGGAAATATTGGCTTTAGGAGCACGAGGGAGGTTTGAATGTTATCTGATTCGTATCGAATCTTGCACTTTCCATTTCCGCATCCAAAAATATTGATCCCGACGTTGAGATTGATACGACTCTTCTTGAAAGTGGAGACGTGACGAGCCTCTGATCGTGGAGCAGGCCATTCAACCTGGACTCGGCCCCTGGTYCACACTCCGATTCCATCAAGCAGCCCGAGACAAACCGTATCCATGACTTAAGTTGTGACATCTCGGCCCAAAGAGGACTTGGAGTGTTGTGTCACCAGTTGCGGGGCTGGGAAACGAAGGGGAACAGAGGACCTCGATGTTGTGGGTTATCTACTCGGAACTGGAAGGATGTCGTATAGAACCACTTATGCTGCAGACCGCTGCAGACCGCTATTGAACCCTGCTGGCATTTTTGACATCTACGATGCTCAWATCTGGCAACGTGGGTGGAAAACTTGCCGCAAGCACTCAGTGCTCGCTGGCCATCGRACCAGTTTTGATCTCAGAGGCATCGCCCCGCCAACGGTTCAAACTCTTTGCCCACATTAACCTCGCACTGCGCCATAAGGAACCATTCATCTTTTCATCGCTGCTGTCAGCAATCTCAACGTCGTTCCGTTTAAGCCAAGAGCCAGACCGATCAATCCGACTACCCTAACCCTAACCCTTACAAAAGAGACTGGTATGGCAGACACCCGCGCTTCGAGCAAAGCCATCATAGATCCTTGGTCTCATGGACGGATTTTCATAGTAGTCGATGTCCTCTGTATCATACCGCACCTGATAGAGTACCAAACGATCAGTCCATCCGGTAAACCATACCACTTCCCGGATAACACGCAAAAAAGAGGAATGTTGAAACTTGAATTATCATATCATTTGTAGAATGGCTGCTGACCACTTAGTACTTTTACTAACATGAGTAACCCTAAGCAGACTTCTCATTCTCCGCTCGCACATCATCATCGCCTCCTCGCCTGTCGGCAGCAATACGCRCCTTGTCCTCCAAATCACCAACACCTTCGAAATCACGAGCCTTAGTTGGTCTGTAAATACACATGGTCAGCAAAGATCGTCCACAATGAACCAAAAACAGTGATCAAGAACCTACTGTCCAGTGACTTTGTTGATAGAGCCACCCTCTTCAAGAGGAATCTCACGGTTGTCCCCAGCACCCGATGCAGCAGATCCGACAGTCACCGATGATCCAGGGAACTTGGCTGTGACGCCCTCGTTGACGCCGGACTCGCCGGCTGAATATTCGTTAGTTTGACTGAAGTAGAGTTCGTTTTGTCAGAAAGGAAGCAAAGCCATACCACTATCGCTCACGCTACTCGCTGCATTGCCCTTCGCCTGTTGTGTGTTCAAGTCACGCTCGGCTTGCTTGGCAATCTCCAATGGATCCTGGCCCTGGTATTCGGCAGACATGTTTAAAGATTTGAAGTGTCTGTATTGGCGGGACTTGTTTGTGGCAAAATTCGGAATATGACGATAGAGGTCGATGAGATTGATTCGATGGGGATGTCTAGAGATTGAATGTGAATAAGAGAAAGAGAGCGAGTACATGCACTTACTATAGATGCCCCATGTACCGCTCGAGGTCGGTCGAAATAATCATCGTGATGTCATGACGTGTAAGTGACGACCACTGCATCTCGATGAAAATGTGGAAAGACTTTCTGCTCCATGGTGTCATAATATCCACCGGCATGGCGGAACCTGTTGCAATGACACCGAATATACCTTGTCTGCTCCATCTGGAATATCCATCCTCACGGCCAGAAGTTCGATGTGGTAGATTTCGTAACTACGTCAGTTAGGTATGTTATTAAGTCATACCTTACCGCTCTCGGGGCAGTCTATCCGTGAACGCCTTGGTTGTCACACAAACCTTCCATTATCAAATTTACAGCCATGTCCCTCGGTCGCTGTCGTCCAACTCGAACGAGAAGGCTTTGCGCAGCGTCCTATCTTGAGGCTCCAAGGGCACGTGCATTTCCACCACGTCCTCGGGACGAAAGATCTGTCGGTGTTCCCTGAAGCAATCTTCATTGTCAATTGCTGAATCCGGTGCAGGAGGTTCCACGCCGTTGTAGACCTTCTCTCGGTGTGCGATGGCTTCCTTCTCGCTCAATGTTTTACCATCCTTTTCTCCAATCATGGGCATATCACCAGGCATCTCGTATATCTGTAGTTCTCTACTATCAGCCTCGCTTGGCGCAAAGGCAGAGATGGGCGAGAAGAGTGCACCACTATGCGAACTCGAGTACGTCCCATGTCCGGCTGAAGGTGAGATAGGTGAAGATACACCGTAGAGTTCAGTCATATTGCCTCTGACCGGTGACGAGTGTCTTGAAATCATCGATCCCTGGGTAGAGAGCAGCCCCTTTTGTACGGTTGGAGAGCCGTCCAGCTCGGCTTTGGGGAATACCGCGGGTTGCTTTCCAAACCCACCCAGACCACTCAGTCTCGCGAGAGAGCTTCTCCTAGTCTCCGATTGCTCGTCGTCGTGCATTTGAATCTGCCCTTCACGCTTCTTACGTCGGAGACACCACCAAAATACCGCGGCGCCGATGATTGCAGCGGCTAGAACCCCAGCTACTACTGCTCCTGCTATAGCGCCGGTAGACATACTGCCAGGTGGGATTCCGTCGGCAAGATGAGATTTGAAGTTGGAGTCATTCGAGCCATCGCTGATAGGTAGCATCGCCACGAGATTCTCATCCGCCGCTGCGTCCCATGAAACCTGCGAGACATTGAATTTGGCAGTCTCCCAATTGACCGATAGATATGCTTCCTGGAGGAAGGTTCGTCCTAGGGTATACTGAGTGTCGTTTTGCGCGCGCTGCAAGGGGAAATATAGAGAGCTGCTGGTCAGTCCCTGATAGGGCKGTTTTGCCTGCAGGTCGAATGCAGCATATGGCAGGGTTATCTGCACCGTCGGACCACCAGACAGAGATTCGCCCAAGGAGAAGGTGACGTTTGCATCCCGTTCGACGAGGGTGTCGTGCAAAGTGGTATTCACCAGATACAAATTGGATTCGTCATCATACACAAGGCCAAATTCCGTCTCGAACTGTTCGCACGCTTCGATTGGTAGCCATATGTGCGGTATCGTGCTATCGACATACACATATATTGGCTTTGGAAGTAGTCTCGTTGCAACAGGCGATGATTCCACAGCCGAGGGCGTGCTGATAGACTGGAGAGCGACCACAATGTCGCGATCGTTGTCCACCGCCAGGGTCCAGGTGATGTTGTTTTCAACAACCTTGGAAGAATCRTATCCTCCTAGGGTGAGCGACGCSAGTACGCCCGTTTCCCGATAGCTTGCACCTGCGTTGTAGCCAAAGGATACGCTGGGAATGAACTCCTGCTCCTTTAATAAAGTCATGTAGCTGGGTGATTGCGTACTGAAGTCGGTGAAGTTCGTCGGTTTGGGGTTGACGCCGAGCACACCCAGATAAAAGGACTCGACCGCAAACGTGCCAACAGTTGTGTTCAACAGCGTAGGTCCTCCTTCGCCTTGTCCCCCCAAACCCACCGTGTCATACCCGTACACTGCGTTACCCGTGTATCCGAGATTCTTCTCTATCCAGAGATCGTAGATTCCCACCCGGTCAAAGGTCGATGAGGCGTTGGAGTCGAAGATCCAGCCGCGCGAGTCGGCACATAGGTCTGGGTTGGCAGCAGCCTGACAGCCCTGGGGGAGAACAACCCATGTTTGATAAGCCGCTGTTGACGCGAATACCCTGACGTTTTGCTCGGGCGTGCCGACACGCAAGGTGAAGGAAGACCACGCGCCGTCAATTCCATCGAAGTTCTGGGCCGGACTGATGGAAATCGGGGAGGGAGCAGATCTGGTATTGTTGGTGTTGTCGTTGCTGCGTGCTTCGAGCCGGCTGCCCTCCACCACACCAGCTGCAATGTATGCGGCAAGGACGAGAGCGCTGGGGAGCTCTAGCATATGTCGGAGGAAGGATCCCATAGTGTAGCAGGCCATCCTAGCCTCGAGACGACGGCGGAGGAGGAGGAGGTGGTGGTGGCATAGGCAGACGGCCTCGCGGAGTGGCCTCACACAAACACAACATTGGCAACGCGGTACACACGGTAGAGGAGAACGGCCGTTGCTCTCTCGCCGTTGACCCTCATCACCCGGCAGAACACCTCCGCCCCTGCGATCATCGTGCGCCCGTGGTTCTGCCGAGCGCAAGGATGTCCGCCCAAGGCGGAGGAGTGCACTGGGATGCACCGAAAGTGTGGTCCACTAGTCCTGATTAGGAATGCTGAGAGAGGAAAGCACCTGAGGCCGCAGGTGAGTAATCTTGAACGGCTAGTCTAGAATAGTAAGGTACGGTTTGAGTAGGTAGTTGAGTTGGTAAACCTCTCGTTACCTCGTCCCTTCTACACCACCCACACAGCAATAGCTGCATTCCATCGATTCGTTCCACACTGATTGTTCTATTTTCAAGTCGCCATGCACAGTTGCTTCAACCTCCTCAACCAAGTATCAGCTTAGCTGGTAGTACCAGTCTTTGCCGGCCGATCGCTGTTTCGCCGCGTGAGTCAAGGGGCTCCGTGGTGATGCGCCGTTATATCGTCGTCTCTTGGAAATATCAACACAGCGGCCTCAGCAATACTCCTGGTGGCTCGCGACGTCGGACTTTCTTCCAGGCTCACGAGAATGCAAGGACGGTTGCACAACGATGAGTCCACACATGCCGCTTCCGGCTAGAATGATGCACCCTGCACGGCGTCGATGCAGGCCGCCTGGTGTGTCTGTCTCTCATCGTCGTCGACCCATCACGCCGCTGTGGGAGGAGTTGGCCCTGTAGAAATAATATCCATAGATCCTGCCATGATCCTGGTGCGAGGAGCCGTGATCTCGCCCACGCAGGTGCATGTGCTGCTTTGGAACCGCCGAAACGCCGTGTCGCCACCCACAGCAACTGTTCATCCCATTATCGCGGGCACCCGATCGTTACACCGCTAAGTTACGAGCTGTCAAGAGGTGCATCTTCGCGACCAGGCATGCGAACTGACGACACACTTGCTGCCGTGCCCGCGCCGTGGGTGTGGGAACAGTGTCGCTCATGTTTTGCTAGCCACTTTCTCGGAGAAGCGATTCAATCCCGCGAAGCGACTCGAGCGCTCCTGCATAATGGCTTGCTAGCTGGGCCAGATTAAGCCCACAAACGTTCGTCTGTCCGTGGATACCTGAATTGCAGCGCCTGCCCTCACGCGGTCTCATTTGCTTGGTTCAGCAAGTTCTCGCATTAATGCCGCCTTCGCTGCCCCTGTTCGCTCTCGCCTCGCCGTCTCACCACCCTAGCTGATCTACACTCTCTTTCTTCCATGCATCAATGATCGTGCACTAGGAATCTCCTATGGCTTTCCAATTCTAGTTCTTATTCACTCGCTTCCACGAAGAGCTAATATCCCTTCACCATGCCCAGAGGGATCTTCACGCTAGTGGCCCTACTAGGCGCGACTGCCGCCTCGGATCTACTTCAAGGATCCTTCAATGGTCAGTCTTCACATGCCAAACGTAACGAGACACGAGGTCCCAAGAGCCATACCCTGCACAGCGAGCTTCACCATGGCTCAATGACGTCTTCACCCAGCGACCGGTCTGGTTCCTCGACAGCGCCTTCATCCACTGATTTGGCCACTACGAAATACGTTCCATACGGATCTGTCCCATTAGCATCGCCGCCACCCAGATCGCTGCTGCCATCTGGCCGACCACGACCCTCCGCAAATGGAACCTGTCAGGGCACCACCGTCAACATTGTGGGCGCTTCACTCGATTGGTGGTACACAGAGACGACATATACGCAAATCGACTCCACCTTTCTCATTCAAGTAGATTCGAATGATTCCTCGACGGCATGGACACTGCTCCCAGCAACAGAGTCCTTCGATGTCACATCTGCGGTAGCAAAGCCATCATGCACATCGTCCACGGCCTTCAATCCGAACGCCAATGCAACCATGCTACAGTACTCATGCGTTGATACACCGACTCCTGTTGCTGCAGCCACGACCACGGTCGAGCAAACCGCCTATTTGCCGATCAATGCTACGACATCTCGCGGTGCTATCCCCAATGTCGTAACATCGCCAACCCCAGCTGCGATTACCGTCGCCAACGCAAATGGTAGTAGCACATATGCTGCAGRTACCCCTTTCGTACATTTCAGTCAGTACGACTTGGTGAGCAAACGGCCATTCCTCTACGGTGATGGCAGGGTGGGCTGTGCGGAGACTACTCAAGTGCATACCATGTCAACGCCGGGAAGCTTCGAATACACTGGCGGTGATGTCAATGGAAGCTTTGCTGCGATAGCTGGCGATGTTCATCCTGATGTCCTCAACATCGTCGGCCAGCTGAATGCTACGGCTGGATCATTCGTGGCAGAGCCGACAGTGGTTGTTGTCGTTCACAAGATGCTGGCCGCGCAGAGAATGTTCGCCATGGTGGAACAGACAGCAGCAGAGCTCGAAACACCAGAGGCCACTCTGCCTCCGTCTCTCTCCACGGTCAGAGAGACGCCCACCGAAACGGGTGTCATCTGGTCCCCCTTGGCGGTGCACATCGAGTCGTCGCAAAGCTTTCTTGCTGTGCCAACAAGAGCAACCCCGACTTCACCAAAGGCTGCAGTTACCACAAAAGCGATACCAGTCGTTGTGCCTTTCACGGCGCATCTAGAAGGTCAAGATCTCACACTAGCGATGCCCATGAATCCGAATGCGCCGCAAGCTGTAATAACAGCATTGTTCAATGGCGTACCCGTGACAGCCACCGCTGTCAAGAACGGCTTCCCAACCCCGAAGCAACTCCAAGGTGGGAGCGGGAGTGGGTTCCAAAATCCAGGACATGCCGGCAATGGTAACATTGGACGTGTGCTCTCTGCCGCCATCAAGGCGGCACAAGCAAGTAACTCTGCTTCGGGAGCAGTTCCCGAGACTATTGGAGATGTAATCGCCTCAGCTATTGGCCTAAGTGCGGAGGATGGGGGTCGTGAAGATAGCGGTGGCCCGAATCATGCAGTAAACACAAACGTGCTGACTTTCGGATCATCTCCACTGCCCTTCGCTGCGTTAAACGGACCCGATGGACTGGCGCTCGTCATTGGCGATCAAACTATTCTGCCTGGAGGAGGAGCTGTCAACATCGATGGCACTCGCATCTCAATTGCAGCAGATGCAACTGCGGTAGTGGTTGGGCCTTCGACCATTCACCTCGCTCCGACCGTCAACCCGGGAATTGTTGCCAACATTCCCCTCATCACTCTGAGGTCCAAGACGTGGACAGCAAATGCTGCTACTCAATTCAACATAGCTGGAACGTTCCTTACACCTGGAGGTACTGCAGTTGCCTTTGRGTCAACGATGGAGTTGGGTCAAAGCGCCAGTAGGGTAGTGATCAACGGAAAGACGCAAGACTTGTCTCCTCCGATGATAACTCCTGCGCCGCATCTTACATTCGGTGGGACGGTTTACCGACCAAATTTGGACTCTACCTACAACATTGGTTCGCAACTTCTCACTCGAGGAGGCCGAATTGTCGCTTCAGGCACAACTATCTCACTCGCGGCCGATGGCTCGAGTGTTGTAGTGAATGGGCTTGAGCAGCCTGTTGGTCCCGGCGGCTCAAAGCAGAATAACTATGCCACCATTACCGCGCCTCCTGTTCTCCGTCTCGATGGGGAGGCTTACGCGCCAAATGGGGAGTCTTCATACATAATCTCTGGGCAGACTCTCACACCTGGCGGAGTCATTACCGTCAGTGGCTCGCAAGGAGTGGAAACCATCTCACTGAACCTGGCCGCAAACAAAATGATCCGCACTGCGAAGGACTATACCGTGACCTCTGCAATCGGACTGATTGGCGCCGCTCCTGGTGGGGCACCTATCTTGACCGTCGATGGCGAACTCTACTCTGCCCAGAACTATGAGGTAGGCCGGGGAGCTACATACATAATCGATGGTCGAACGCTCACCCCAGACGGCAAGATCACGATCTCGGGTGCCGATGGTCTGGAGACTATATCGCTTCTTGCAGAGGGTACTGCGATACTCTCCGTGCACGCAGGAGTGACCACAACTTCGAGCATTAGTGGGGCATACGGCGTGAYGCCTACCAACGCTCCTATTCTGACGATTGCCGGCGAAACTTTCATTGCAATCAATAACGGAGCTACATACATCATCGATGGGCATACTCTGACGCCCGGTGGGGCTGAGATGGTCACCATCAACAACCGTGCCTACATGTTGTCGCTGTCATCCCACGCGACAATGCTCGAAATTGAGATGCTGGGGGCGGATGGCAAGGCCGTCAGTACGGTGTCAGAGACCCTTTTTCCTGCACAGATGCCGAGCACCACAATCTACAACACCGAATCGATTGCCACGACTGCATCCCAAAGTGACGCCGCACCGTCAAGCGAGCCCGAAGAGCACGAGAGGCCCAAAAAAGGCACATCGCCGAGTGTGACGCCCTTATTTGGTGGTGTGTACGGCTTACTGGGTCTGACGGCGTGGAGCGTCTTCATTTGAATCCTGCGAGTTGTATCATAAACTATCACGAAGTCATGATCAGTGGAGATAATGTTTGGCGCAATGGAAATCGTTCTGTCACTCGCTGCCGCACCAATCTTTCACCCAAAAGCCGCGAAATTGATCTATCTGTATTGTCGATTCTTGTGCATATATCGTCTTATGTTGAGGGATTGACTCACTGCTGAAGCGGAAAGCCAATGCCAAGCAACAGAGCCGGCTCATCAATATTATGATGCTGGTAGCTCAACACTCCGACCCCTCCTGGCTCCATCATCAGACTCAGGGGAAATGACATCTCATACCCCAACCAGCGTTTCGCAAAAGCTCTAGTCAAGTGGCCATGAGCGACCAAAATCACGTCTTTGGGCTCACTGTCTTTCATGTGGAGCTTTTGGAAGTCTCGAATCTCAGCAATGAGGTTGTCGWTACGATCCGTGACTTGCTGGGGAGATCTTTTTCTGCGCGTTAGCAAAGTTCGGTAGGTAGTGGGCACCTGGGATTTGCAACGCACTCTCCCCCTTCACAACCATCTCGCCAGATGTCCCATGGCTTGTCACTGTCGAGACCATGCGACTTTCGCTTCGCTCGAATTTCATCTGTCTTGATACCTTCGTACTCGCTGTATCTGGTTAGAACCAACCTCGTCTGTCATGTCACATTGGCATACCCATAGTCCCACTCCGCGAGGCTTTCTGTGATTTCGTACCCGTCCGTCTTGCCAGAGAGCAATTCGTACGTCTTGATGGCTCGCTTGCGGGGGGAGAGATAAACTTTCGCCACTTTTGATGGATCGATGAGCTTGCCACTACCGTATACCTGAAAGCAAAGGGCAGGACTTATTAGCAACGTCTTTGATAAGTTCTATATGGGGCTTAATGTACCATTTGCCCGGTCCCCTTTACTTGTTCCTCGCCGTGCGGTGTAAGAGCAATGTCAGTTTTCCCGGTGTACTGCCCGGACTTGCTCCACTCAGTCTCGCCATGGCGAAGGATGAAGACTCTGGGAGTCGCTGCGTCTTTGTCCGGCATTCTGAAGACTGAAGTGAGAGGATGAAAGACGAAAGAAATGTTCAAACAAGAAGTGGATTTTCGAATTGAGGGTTGAGTTGGGTTATCTTCGGCAAACTGAGCATGGTTTTGGAGTGCTCTTGTTCTGGGAATACCGCACGTGTTGCTCATCATAATCACCTACGACCATTCCCGTCATGATACCGGGAGAGACTAATAATAGTCTATCGATGGAGGTATGGGGAGAGGAGAAAGGGAAGTTCTGGCAATGGTGGAAGACTCGAGGTTGTGCCCAAGACTCCCCGTCTTCCGTCCCGTCAACTCCGCTCTTCACCCCTCTCCTACGGCGCGTTTTTAAGAACAACYCTGCAACAATCCTTTTAGGCGATAGTGCGACGCTAGCATTATAGGGTATTAGAACCTCGGTAATTAAAGGTGTATTCCGTATAATAAGTAATAAGTAGCGTAATTTAATGTACGCGTACAATATCCTCGCTTTCCTTCTTTAAAGTAATTTTATTTACGTCTACGATACCTAAGTAATAATAGTAAGGATAAAGTAAAGGTATAATAGTATTACGCGGGCAGCTATATAACTCTTTATATAAGTAAGTAAGATCTCTAAAAGAGCAGTAGGATAAAGACCTACTACTCTTTTAGCAACTCTTATTAATACCTAAATACTAATATTAATACCTACTACTCCTACTACTATACTACCCCTTTACTACTTACCTATATCCTTCTCTCTCCTCTATATTATCCGTATAAAAGCCTAAGAAGGTAAAGAAGCCTAAGTAGCTATACTTATAGCTAGGTTATATCGATACTACGAAATACTAGAGGGCTAGAACTTTCCCTAAGGATCCGGATAATAATAGCGAATACGGATATTTTAAGTAGAACTTTATAAGARTATAAGCTAGGAATTTAATACTTTAAGAGTAGCGCTAACCCGTATAATAGCTTAAGAAAATAGGATTCTCCCTTAACTACGAGTAGAGGGAGATAATAGCTAAGTCTACTACTAAGCACGTCGAGATCTATAATAGCTTTACTAATAGGATCGATAATATCCGAGACCGTCCGAACTACGTCGACGCCTTTTTAGTTACGAGCCGGTCTATATAATCCTATTAGAGAATTATTAAAGTATAATAGCTAATAATATCGTAGTAGAATAATATTAACTAAGGAGGAGTATTACGGAGATTATAAGGAGCGGAAGGACTACGATAGTAATATAATTAAAGGCCTAGGGCTATTTCTAGTATATTTCCTACYTATATAAAGGTATTCGACGCTAACGAGAACAGCGCTATATAATCTAGTATAGATATTTAAACTTAGCCTATAGCAACTATATCTAGCGGGGAACTAAGAGTACCTACTAGTATAGCGATAGGATAGCTAGCGAGAGAGCCTATTAGAAGAGGCTAAAGGCGTATAATAGCAGACTAGAGAATATATACTAGCGACCTAAGCGCGGAATAACTACGAGCATAGCTACGGATAATTAGTTAAAGGGTCTACGTTTAGAAAAGGATAAGTAGTCTCGTAGGTCTCGGAGTAAGTCTTAGGGTCGGAAGGAATAAGGTATAGAGAATTAGTGCTCTTCTTTCTTCTATATAATCTCGATTTTAGCTATTACGAGTTCGTAATAGGAGCTTAGTATAATATTATAGTAATATTATAGTTCCTTCCTAAATAGGAAAGTTTCTACTCTTTTTATTAAATTATATATTCTATTATCTATTCTACTCGCGGACTATTATATTAGCTACTTTTATTATTCCTAAGCTATTTAGTATATTACCTATATTTTAGATTCCCTACTTAAGTTCTAAGGCAGCAATCTTACCCTTTCGTACTTAGGTAGTAATCTTATCCTTTTCTACTCTTTTTATTAAATTATATATCGTATTACCTACTCTACTCTACTCGCGGACTATTATACTAGCTACTTTTATTATTCCTAAGCTATTCGGTATAATAGACCCCGATCTTATATATTTTTATATATTAGTATCTAAATATATATAAAGGAGAGGTAATAAAGAATAAGGCATAATAAAAGTAAAGGTATAATAAGGTAGGCCCGTAGGAAGCCTTCTAACTCTTTATATAGGTAATTTAGATCTTTAAAAGAGCAGCAGGATAAATACCTGCTACTCTTTAAGCGACTCTTATCTAAATGCATATAAAGGAGAGGTACTAAAGAGTAAGGCATAATAAAAGTAAAAGCGTAATAAGGCAGGCACGTAGGCAGCCTTCTAACTCTTTATATAAGTAAGTAAGATCTCTAAAAGAGTAGTAGGATAAATACCTGCTACTCTTTTAGCGACTCTTATTAACACCTAAACACTAATATTAATACCTACTACTCCTACTACTATACTACCCCTTTACTACCTACCTATATCCTCCTCCCTCCTCCTACTTCTCTATATAAACACCTACTACCTTAACGACCGCGAGGATAACTACTAGACCGGCCTTTAACCTACTTTTAATCGATAGAGGTCCTATTAAAGGAAGAAGAATTATCGATATAAGGGTAGATAGAGTAGAAGCTAGGAATTTAATATTCTAAGAGTAGTTCTAACCCGTATAATAGCTCGAGTAAGTAGGATTTACTATTAATAAGGAGTAGAAGGAGCTAATAGAGTTAAAGGCTAGCCGTCGCTTCCTAACTTAAGATCTAATATTCGATCTAGCTATTAAAATCTATAACCGTTACTTCTACGTTAACGCTTTATTAATTTAGAGCCGGTCTATATAATCCTATTAGAGAATTGTCGAAGTATACCGGCTAATAATATCGTAGTAGAACGGTATACCCCGACGAGATAGTAGTAAATAGTAATAGAGAAGAAATAGGAACGGATAAGCGGTACGAGCGGTATTAGAATAGCGATAAGAACTTCTAGGTATATTTCCTACCCGTATAAAGGTATGCGATACTAACGGGAATAGAGCTATATAATCTAGAAGAAGAACTTCTATAATATTTATAGTAACTATAAGTTTTATAATTAGGCTTATAGCTACGACCGTAGGGACTTACTTAATCGCTAGGATAGAGATTAGTGTTACGAATTAACCCGTAGGGAACTATAGCTACTTATTTTAGCGAAACTAAGTAAAAGAAGCTCTAGGAACTAAGCGCTTAGTAGCTACTCTAAGCGATTAGGATTAGAACGGATTAAAATAATTAGAGTAATTAGACTTAGCACTAGGAGGAACAACTATATAGACGACGCTCTTTCTTAATAGGTAAGAGCTTCGTGCTTAACTTAATTAATTGTATTTACCTATACTATTAAACCCTTTACCTTTACTTCGAAAGAACAGATAGTACCTTAGAATATACCCTACGTTATAAAAACGAAGCAAGGATTTAACAACTTTAAGCACTACCTAAGGGCCTACTATACATGTCTATAAGAGATTAAGCCGGAAGTTTAATACGCTAATTATCTACTAGACTTACTAGACATCTCGAAGTAATGTCGATTATAATAGGAAGCGGAAAACGAACGACAACCCTAGTAAGCTCGATAAGCATACCGGAGGTAACTAGGGGACTAAAGGTATCGACGCCGGAGACGTTCGACGGTATACTAGGACAATTAGAGGCCTTTTAGCTGTAGGTTTAGCTCTACCTCTACTTTAACACCTACTAGTTTAATAGCGAGGCTAGTAAGGTCTTATACGCCGTATCCTTCCTAAGAGGAAAAGCCGCTCGAGGATTTAGACCCTATCTTAAGGACTAGCTTAACAACTAGGACGAGGATAAAACACCTAAGACGGAAACTAGAAAAATCTTCTACGACTACGAGGAGTTTAAGACAAAACTTAATAATCTATACGGGATACTAAATAAGGAAGTGTACGCCGATCGCTAYATCCGCTAACTCCGAYAAACTACCTCTATATCGCTATACGCCTTAGAGTTCTAAGRATATACGGCCGATCTCGAATAGAACGATGTAGCTCTTCGTTCCTAGTTCTACCTCGGACTTAAGGACATAGTTAAATTAGAACTATCCCGAAACTCTAGCCTAACTACGCTTAGAGYAATAATTAAGTTAGTAAAGGAAATCGACGAGAGACTCTAGGAGCTACGGYACGACCGATTCGTRTAGCCTAGATTTTAGAGACCCGTAAGAGGCGGAAGAGGGAACTTTAAGGCTAGAAGCGACGATCCCTATAGACTAAGACCGATAGAGCTCGATATAATAGAGCGAGGTAGTCGATATAAGAAGGCGGGATAGAACCCTACTTATTATGCATATAGTAACTAAGGACATATTACGAGTAACTATAAGGATAGGAACAAAGTTAGACGCAAGGAATTTAATTTCTTGTCGCGTAAGGAAACGTACTAAGAATGCGAGAGCTTCCTCTCGAAATCTACCTAGTAGATCTTAGTGCAGGAAATTAGCGAACCGCGGCCTCTTAGCTCGCTAATTCGGATAACAAAAAGAGGTTAACTACTAGAAGACACCTAAGGAAATAGGGAGGAAAAATTAGGATAGGACTAGTCGGTAGAAGGGTCGGAAAGCGCCTCCTACTCGGTAGGAGATATAAGCTAAGTATTAGAGGGGGCTAGAGGTTTATTAGTCTCGACACTAGGAAGCGTTTCCTCGTATACCTCTAACTTCTCTAGCTCCTCTAGCTCCTTCGCCGCCGTACTATCGGTACGAGTCGCGGCTAGACGGAGCTATTTACGGATCCGGATTTTCTTCGATTTATATTAGATAAGCTTTTAATAGAGCTCCGCCTACTTATAGAGAAGTTCTACCTCGGCCTCTTCGGCCTCCTCTAGCTCCCGCTAAAGGCGGTCGCGAGTATCGCGGAACTTCGTCTACTCCGGCATAGAGAGCGTTACGTTATAATTAGTATAGCCTTTTCGTATATACTTAGAGCATCGACCGGAGCGGGCTAAGACGATATATTTCGGTCGTTTAACGGAGGCTCCTACGCGAGCATTACGATAGTAGTAATATAGAGCTATT